AGTTCTAGGTAGGTTGGAGAAGGTGCAGTTGTTTGCCTGTCTTTCTGAGAACACTGGTTAGATGTCAGTGCATCCCCTTGTTTGTTACATCTTAAAATATCCCATTTCCTCAGTTGTGAAATGGCTTTGGGGTAAACAACATGCCTCTGTGCCCAGACTGAGAGCTTTTTTTTTTTTTTTTTTTTTCAAATAGTGAGGTCAAGGCAACTGCCACGCTAGGAAAATTCATGCTCTTCCCAAGGATGCCCCTGTCCTCATCTCATCTCAGTCCCCAGGAACCTGCCACAGCGAGTTCTGCTGTTTGGTTAGTTGGGATTTTAATACCATCCAGCTGAATCCGGGTCGGATATTGTGCTTTGGTGAAGGGTGATGAAGGGCCATAAGAGATGGCCCTCTCTGTCATTACTTGCCAAACTGATCGAAATAGTCTTTCTTTCTCAGGCCCATGAATAAGGTACTCTGTCCTGAGCTGGGAAAATATGTAGTGCCTGAGAATATTTCTGTCTGTTTAAAGATAGAATAAGGTAGAAAAACATTGTAGTTGAAGTCAAGAGTTGATATGATCAGGTTTCCACTGGTGGATGGTTTCTTGTCTCTGGTGCTTTTAGTTAGTCCTGCATACTTTGTTTGTGATGCAGGAAGATTGAACTGGGAATGGTACTGTGTCTGGTGCTAATCTTCATAGACCCCCTTCCCTCTTTCTCTCTGAGAGGGATTGCTGTGGCCTCTGATTTGGTCAGGGACCATCTTGTGAAAACATACTTGTTGATGCCTGGTGGGGACCCTTCTTTTGCAAGACCTTTTAGATGCTTTGAAAGTATGGTGGCATTCCAGTACTTATTTCTGCAATAGTCACGTCATTCCTGCAGCTGACTTATTTAAGCTACATGGAGCCTTATTTAAGCCAGGCTGTGTGGCGTTAACGTTGGCACACCAGGGGAAGGCAAATGTCCTGGCTTTCAGGAGCTTGAGGTTAGCTCCTGAGAGAGATGCATCAGTGTACAGCATGGTAGTGGGGAAGATGCTGGATGAAGACAGATACAGGTGCCTTGTGACCCCCTACAAGTAAGCACTCTGGACCTATGTGGTGGGCCCAGGTGGAGTATAAGGGGTAGGAGATGTCCTGGGAAGGTTTTTCCAAGAGTGTTCTGTGTGAGTTTCAGCCAGCCTTGTGCAGTGGGACACCTTAGCCATGTGACTAGTGAGGCCTGTGTATGTGAGTTTGCGGACATGCCCTGGCTGAGGCAGAGAGAACTGTACTGACCTGAACTGTTGCCCATCATTAATGACTGTTTTCTGTCTTCTAATTCAGATGAAGGAAATGCTTGTGGCCAGACATCTTCAAGATTGCCCCTGAAAAAAAAAGGAGGCAGGGATGGTGTTATTGACAAGCACCCCAGCTTTGGAGAAACCCTGCTCTGAAGATGTTTGCTTTTGGTGAGAAAGGAGGAAACACCCTGTAAACAAACTTTTGTGTCTGCATCTATTGTGAGGCTGTGCATGATCATGGATGTAGATTTACACCAGTGTTGCTGGTGAGCCTTGACTTCTCACCTCTGTGGACATGAGTGACCCAAGGCTGTCACAGGCAGAGAAGCACAAGCTTGGCAGAGCCTCTTCCAAATTCAAAGAACTTCCCAGAACCATGCAGTCGGATGACTATTTTGCTCGGAAATTTAAAGCCATCAATGGCAATATGGGACCTGCTACTTCTTTAACAGCCTCCAATCTGAGTGAGGGTGGTGGAGGTGGCGGTGGACCGGCCAGTGGTACCCCAGCGGTGCCCAAGATGGGCGTGAGGGCCAGAGTGTCTGAGTGGCCTCCTAAGAAAGACTGTTCAAAGGAACTGGCCTGCAAGACCCTGTGGGAGAGCCGATCTCAGTCCAGCTACGAGAGTGTCACCTCCATCATCCAGAATGGCCAGGGTGACCAGGGTGATGGGCAGCAAGAGGAGCAGCTGGACCTGGACTTTGTAGAAGCCAAATACACTATCGGAGACATCTTTGTTCATTCTCCCCAGAGAGGACTCCACCCCATACGGCAGAGGAGCAACAGTGACGTCACCATCAGCGACATCGATGCTGAGGATGTCCTGGATCAGCATGCTGTTAACCCCAACACGGGGGCTGCCTTGCACAGGGAGTATGGGAGCACCTCATCCATTGACAGGCAGGGCCTATCTGGAGAGAATTTTTTTGCCATGCTCCGTGGGTACCGAGTGGAGAATTATAACCCCAAAGCAGTCAGCTCCTTTGGGTTCCCTGATTTCTTCCCCTGTGATGCTGGCATCTCTCCAAGCCTCCACGCTGCAGCCCAGATCTCTAGAGGAGAATTTGTCCGAATCTCAGGACTGGACTACATGGATGGCGCCCTCTTGATGGGGAGGGACAGAGACAAACCCTTTAAGCGCAGATTAAAATCGGAGTCAGTGGAAACATCACTCTTCCGAAAACTTCGGACAGTTAAGAGTGAGCACGAGACCTTAAAGTTCACTTCTGACCTGGAGGAGGGCCGCCTGGACCGGGGTGTTCGTCCTTGGAGTTGCCCACGGTGTTTTGCCCATTATGATGTCCAGAGTGTCCTCTTCAACATCAATGAAGCCATGGCCACAAGGGCCAGCGTGGGGAAGAGAAAGAACATCACCACAGGGGCCTCAGCTGCATCGCAGACCCCAGTGCCCACAGGCTCAACAGGAGGCTGTGAATCCCCACTGGGCAGCAAAGAGGACCTCAACTCAAAGGAGAACCCGGATGCTGATGAAGGTGATGGGAAGAGCAATGACCTGGTCCTCAGCTGCCCTTACTTCCGGAATGAGACTGGTGGGGAAGGTGACCGGCGCATTGCTCTCTCTCGAGCCAACTCAGCCTCTTTCAGCTCTGGGGAGAGTTGCTCCTTTGAGTCATCCCTCAGCTCGCACTGTACCAATGCGGGCGTCTCTGTCCTGGAGGTGCCTCGTGAGAACCAGCCCATCCACAGGGAGAAGGTCAAGCGGTACATCATTGAACACATTGACCTTGGGGCCTACTACTACCGCAAATTCTTCTATGGGAAAGGTAGGACAAGTGACCTCCTGCAGGGGCCTAGGGACTACTCACCTCCATGTTTCTGTGATCATAATTCCTGGTTGGGGTCGGGGGCACTTAGGAGGAGGACTATTTATGGTTTCAAAGGGTTTGTCCTAGTCATGTGTTCCTAGCCTCTTGTGGTGGACATCAGTGCAGTGAGGCGGGGCATAGGAGACATTCATCACCTTGTGGTGGACAAGAAGTACTAAGAGAAAGGACTGAGGACTAGGTCAAAGGCAGAACCCCAGTAACCTGCTGTTCTAGCTAGGTACTGCCTCGTAAAGTTTCTAGAACCTCCCAAAGTAGCACCCTATTCCCAGCTCCAGACCCACTGCTTAACACATGCACCTGTCTGGGGACATTGCATGTTGAAATCATGCCAGGTACAGTGTCTCCAGAGCCTGCAGTGCTACTTCACTGTTTTGGCAAGTTCCTGAGGGCTGTGTTGGTCATGGGTTCTCCACTGCCTGTACTGATTTCTCATCTCTACTGGACTGAGAATGCTGCTTTTCTCTCTGGAATTTGTGAACATGACAAACATTGGGCTTCGTTTGATCTGACCCTTTTCCTATGTGTCCTGTGATTCTCTCTTTCCCTGTGCTACTTCTCAATCTAGTCTCCAACACCATGTAGACTGGACGACTCTACTGGGCTTCCCATCCATTCTTCATGCTCACTTTATTGTTAGTGAGATGTGCAAATTCATCTTCATTGTGGTTCTCCAAATGGGATTACAAGGGAGAATATGGTTCCCTAGTGAGTTACTGCAGAATTCTTTAATCTGATCTAAAATAAATGATTTTGCTTTTGTTAATGTCTTCAAGCTTGAAGCGTGCGTTCTCAGAGGTCATGTACTTCAGTCCTTAGCTTTTATGTAAGTGTCCTCAGCTCTCACTTGGACACAAGAACCCCTCTGTTTCAGAGGCCTACAGAGAAACCTATTCAACATATGTGTCAGGAACACATGCCAGTGAGACTGGTGCCTCTCTGCCCTCAGTCCTGTTTAGTGTGACTGGCCCTTTAGCCATTTCCTTAGGGAACAGCTTAAGGGCTTTGCTTTTCTGTGTGTAGCCACCTCTCTGTCCACTCTCAGGGACAGGCTGGTGGAACATCTGGTTGGCAGAGGCCCCCTCCCACTCTGTGGTGAATGAACCACTCTGCCCTTCTATCTCCTGAATGTTTGCATGTGATTTTGGACAATCCTTTCTTTTGAGTGGATCGGGGTAAGTCAGATGTGGAGAGATGACTGTGACCACTTGGGTCCTTTGTAACAGTAAAGTAGCCATTAGTTTTAAACTCATTTTCTTTTTAAGCTGTATTTACTGGTGTGTGTGTGTGTGTGTGTGTGTGTGTGTGTGTGTATGCACACACAACTGCACTCGTGCCTCAGTGTGTGTGTGAAGGTCAGATGACAAATTGAAAAAGTCAGTTCCCTCCTTCTACCATGTAGGTCCCAGGGGTTGAACTCAGGTCTCTTGGGTTAGATAGCACGTACCTTTAGCCACTGAGCCATCTCACCTACTACAGAGGATTTTTACTGCCTCTTCCCACAGATGATGTGAAAGAATTTTTTTGCCCCATCAGTTTCAATATTAAGCCAGTAATTTTATTTGCCCATTGATCCAGGTTTAACCCAGCACCTGTAACTATAATATGGAATCATGTAAATTGGGGACGTGATCATGATACTGGGTATACTAGGTTATTTGTCTCATTGCTGCAACCAGATACCTGAAAAAGCAACCTAAGAAAAGAGTTATTTTGCCTACAGTTTGAGGGTACAGTCCATCAAGGTGAGGAAGGCATGACTGCAGGAGAGTGAGGCAGCTGCTCACACTGTGTCCAGTCAGGAAGCAGAGATGGAAGCTCACTTCCTCCTTTTTTTCAGTCCAGGACCCCAGTGTTAGCTACCAGGGTGTCCCATTCTGCATTCTCCAGCCGCCTGTCATGGTCCTGCTTTGGGCTACATCACTGTGACTGCTCTGAGTTCACTCCTTGTCACAGTGAAGCCCTGGAACCTCTGACCTGCATCCCAGTCTGTGAACTAGCCATCACCCTTATGGCCGTGCCTGTCTCTCGGAAACTGGTTATCAGACATGTGTAGGACTGGTCTCTGGGAGGAAGTGAGTTGCTCTTGGCTTTTCAGATAGAGACTGGAGAAACAGGCTTCCTCACCAAGACTGCTGCTATAGCTGAACACTGGCACACAAAATAAAATCTAGATTTATTATGCCCTGAAATCCACAGGTAACTCAACATTCAGGCTGACTGAGTTCTGTGGAGTTCATGATTCATCTTTTAGGATATCAGAATGTAAAGATTATCAAGTACTTAGCAACTTCCCACTGAGAGTTCGTTTCACATGTAAAGTGTGATGAAGGAGGAGCAGACCCCAGATTCCCACCACCACTGGACTAGCTCCAGGCCTCAGGGTCTGTCCTGATAGGCGGTTTCTGATTTCTAGATTCTGTTACTTCTGAAAATTCCTTACCTATCATTTGGCTGTTGAGGATGTTTGAGAACATTGGAAGTCATATAGTAAGTTTAGGTTGGGAACATGTCATAAGAAATTAGTAAGCTCCAAAGAATGATCTGTATATATATATATACCCCAGAGAGAATGCTGGGTGGATGAGCTGTGTCTGCAGACAATGCCAGGATCTTGGGATCATCTCTGCCTTGGGCCATGACTCAGGATCTAGGAAATAGCTGGAAAGCTGAGCTCTAGACTGTACTGTGAGGCCCACAGAATGAGAGAGTGGAGAGCAAGCCCTGTGAACCCCTGCCTTAGTTTGTCAAGGCTCTGTGGTTGTATTCTGGCAAAGGGCCTGAATTGCTGCAGGCCAGGGAGAGAGTGGCCTCCACGGGAGGGAACTGTGCTGAGCCTCAGTGCAGTAGTGACTCCCTGCTGCCTCTGGACTTAGAGTGTGACCTGTGGCCCAGTGTGACTTGAGATAAAATTGGGGGCAGGAGTGTCTACTAAGGCCCTATGTGGAGCCATTATGGACCAGACATTGGCAGCCCAGAGTCCTGAGTGGCTAAGTAGCCCACTAGCCTAACCCCATAGCCTCAATCACTGGGCAAAGCAGGGCAGGGTACTTCTGCCAGCTCTTCACTATCAACAGGACACCATTGTGTTAAAACAGACCGACCCAGACTAGCTCTGAGACCTGGCTCTTCAAAATGCTTTCTGCCTTTCTTTTTCCCTTCTCCAAGCTTTTCTCTATGGAAGTTGGCTTTCAGGGATCTCTTGATACTTTGCAGAGCACCTATTATTTTCTACTATGTTCCTTGTGAAACTTGACAGCTCTTAGTCATTAGGGGATGTCTCATGCTCAGGCTTTGTAAGCAGGTTGCTCTGCACCTGACCATTGATGCACAGCCCTCAATGCTAAGGTGTGTCTTGTGATAGTCACTGAAACTTAGGAACTTAGTGAAATTTTAGGAACTTAGTGAACTGGTCACCCAGGGAGTGCCTCACCACCATAAACAGAGGCAGCATGGCTTGACCGTCCTGGCAGATCTATCTGCAGCCTCCTGAGACAGCATGGCCAGTGAACAGTAAAGTCCCTCTGCTGGTAATGACCATGAAGAAAAGTTGGGGCCTTTTGTTTTCATGTTACAGTATTGCCAGTGGAGCTCGTAGTGAACATACTAAACCCTTGCCTTGGTGGAACAGGCTACTACTAAGAGTTCCCAGATAGTGATTCTCCTGGGCTTGGCCCAGTGGAGTCTGCATACATTCCAGGTTCAGCTCTTGTCCCTTTGTTTGACTCCCCAGGGCTTCTGTAAGCAGCAGCCTGGGTGGTGTGTTTGAAAGGGAATGAAGCCAACAGCAGGCATAGCTCCTTCCCACTTTCCTCCTCAGCTCTGCTCATCTCTCCTCTGGCTCTTAGTTTCTTTTCCTGTTGCTATGATAAAATACTCTGACAAAAGCAACTTAAGGGAGAATGTTTTTATTCTGGTTCACAGCTCAAGGTGCAGTCCATCATGGAGAGGAAGTCAAGGCAGCAGGAACTTGAAGCAGCTGGTCATATCACATCCACAATTAGAAAACAGAGAGGGGCAAATGCAGGCCAGTACTCAGCTTACCCTCTCTGTTTTATCCTGTCCAGGATCCTCTACCTGGGGAATGGTCCTGCCCACAATTGGGATGGATCTTTCTACCTCTATTAACATAATCGAATAGTACCCTATTGGCACTCCTAGGGACCCAGCCCACTTGATTCTGGATTCTTTCAAGTTCACAACACTAACTGAAACACTCTCCTTTCCTCCCTTCTGTCCTTTCCTCCTCCCCTCCTCCCTTTCTCTCCTTCCCATCCTCATCCCCCCCCTCCTTTATAAAAGTGTGCATAAGAGGAAATGTTTGCTCTCCCCTTGCCATAGTAACTTCCTGCTGGGGTGGAGGCAACTTGGAAGTACCAGGAACTTTCCAAAAGAAGAGTTTCAGAGTGGACCGAGGCCCCACACAAGTGTCCATCCTTCCTTAGGTCCAGGCCCAGCTGTGTGACAGTGGTAGCACCTAAATAAAGCTGCAGCAGAGGGACCTTGACACAACCAGGACACTGTCTACCATCTTCTTCCTGTTTACTATGTTCAGCAGCTGCTCCTGCCCAGCTCTTGCAGCTCTTTGTAGGCATCGTCCTCTTTTCTCCAGTGCTAGTCTTCACCAGCAGCAGTATGAATGAGGGGTAGTCTGCCAAGTGAGTAGAGAAGGGAGTTTTATATAATGTGTAGGGCTAGAGATGGAGCTCAGTGGTACAGCACTGGCCTAGCATGCCTCAGACCCTAAGTTCAGTCTCCAGCACCAATGAAAAAATGTACTAGCCTCTCACCTGCTACACCACTTTACTATTTTATGTCTGAGGAGCTGTGTTTTTGCTATAAGGATCAAGTGCCCATCTGTTGTAATTATAGCTGGAGGTACACACCTTATAACCAAGGACTATGATTGGGCCAGGTGGGGAACACACAGGGTTCATACC